GGCAAAAAACAGTGAAAGCTAACGTACGAAACCAGAGGGCAGCACAGGATGTGATCGCACGATCCCTTCCGTGAGCAATCTCCCAACTCATCTCTGTAGAGCTCTATGGGTAAATAACAGATTCTATGCAAGAGGGTTTATCCGTGTTTTCGACTATGAGGATGAAATCAGCTGTTTCGAGTTCTGCGTGATGTATGTATGTACGTGGACCGCTGTACAATTTACTCGAGAGAGAAAATAAGAGGTATTGCCGATGCAATGGAAGGTGAGATCAATAAGATGAGATAACTTGGGCGTACAGGTGCGTTACGTTGCGTTGCATTCACAGTAATCGCATTATTTTCTGTGTACTTGTTTTAGATGTACCAATTAAAGGAATATTCGAATTTCACTTCAAACAATCGGGGGCGTTGCTTGTGATTGTCGATAGCAACTAGAAATTAAAGTTTCTCCTGCAGTAATAACGTTGGTAGCGGTAGGGAAATTCACTGATTAGTAGGTTGTTTGAAGTCGTAAAAGTTTGAACTTCATAGGCAAAGACAAGAAGCATGGAGAGTACCGATGGACAATTACAAGTAAAATATCAGAAGATTGTTACAGAGTATTCTAAAGTGAGTTTATCTCAGAATTTCTCTTGTTTCCAAATTTTGTCGATAATAAAGTACATGAAAACAAAAGATCACATAGAAGCCTGAATAAATAATTGTTGATATTTCAGATACGAGCTCAAGCGAATGTCCTGAAGAAAGCTGTAATCGATGAGCAAGCACGGAATACGGACGTTCGAGAGCGTCTCAAAGAAAAAGAAGTCGAGCTGCGGAGAGCGGAGCAAGAACTTGACAGTTTGACATTCCGAAACCAACAACTAACTAAACGTGTAACAGTTCTGCAGGAGGAACTTGATCGAGTACAGACCAAGGGGAGTCGAAAGGGTAGAAGTGAATCTGCTGATAGTAAGACTCGGACGTCATTAGCAACACCTGTTTCACCTCCTGACCAAGTTCTCGATGAGGAGTTTCAGAAGAAAATTCTTGAAAATGCACAGCTACTTTCCAGACTTGCTGACGATGAGGTTGAGATCGAGGCTCTTAATGACAGAATAAGGCACTTGGAACATAAGTTAGATATTGGTGAAAAGTCTAAAATGGAATTGGAAAGTAAGTATTCCGACACGATGGAGAAATTGGAAAGAGAAAAGGCAGAATTACAAAGAAGGTTGAACGAACGCTTAAAACTCGATGAAACTACATCATGGTCCAGTGGAGAAAGTAAGCGTGATTCGTACGATTTAGAGCCTAGAATTGCCTTGCCTAATCACCGCCGAGGAAATATTTCTCCCAATTCTTCTCCCACCATGTCACGTGGGTCGATTAAATCTCGAGTACCTTCCGCATCTCGTGAAGAAAGTGGCGACGAATATGAAGTGGTTAAATTATCTGATCTGGAAAAGGAATTGAACAGATGGAAAGCTCGGTGTCGCGCTGCCGAAATAAAGCGAGACGAACTTGAACGAAAATGCGTTTTTTCTGATAGTTATAAAGAAGATTCTCTGCCACCTCTGAAAATTGAGAATGCGGTATTTATTTATTTATATAAATTTAGAATTAGATCTGTAGATATTTTCTGTGATATGCCCATTGTTTTCAAGATCGGGAAATTTTCTATGCCATTTGCAACTCCTGAAGAGGTCGAAGTGCGAGAAGGAAAGACGAGGGAATACTTTTTATCAGAAATAGATAAATTGATTACTGAAAAGCATGCATGCCAGGCTAAAAATTTAGCAATAGCTGCTGCAGTATGTATAACTTTTTATACAAGCTTCTCGCAAAAAGCCTTTAATTACACATAGTAGGAATCGTCGCTGCATTATGGTCTTCAAATTTTCAGATTGAAGTGCTGAATGTTCATTTAGAGACCAGTGAACTTAAAAGAGAAAAATGCGAAATTGCTCTGTCGGAGGCTTTATCAAATCATGAGAGGTTACAGGAAGATAAAGAGGCGCAAGAAGGCAATTATAAGACGCAACTAAGTACTATGAGCGAACACCTTGCCAACATGAATGAAAAACTTGTCAGACGGACGGAAGAAATACAACGGTTGAAATTTGACCTTGCAAACAAAGTAAGGATCTGCATTAGTTTTTGTTGTTATTCTTTTAACATTAAATGGATTATTGTAGCGATGACATTTGTATAAATTTTATATCTTTCAGATTGAGAAGAAAGGGAAACAAAAATAATTCCAATCGTTGCATCGGTATCAGACTGCCATTTGTGCTGTGTCCAGAGAAGGCCTGGTCTTTTGTACATATATGGTGCGAACTACTAAAAAATGAGACCACTGTTTTTTTTCTATATATCTATGTTCATTGCCATGAACTTTTTGACTCGTATTAACTGATGTAATTTATTGAGGGAAATTCCACATTCACTATTTAAATGCCATGTAAGACATAGAAGATACTAAATAAAATATATAAAATAATAACAGAGATAATGGTGCTGCTCCAATATTTTCCATTGACTTTATATTATTCTTATTTACATTCTAAAAGTATGCACCACTGGGATATAAAAAATGTAAGAACAATTATTAGCTTATCTTTTTAATAACAATTCTGAAACTTAGTACATAAATTTATTTAAAGCCAAAATTAAATAAATTAGTTTCTCTATTTTGTACAGCATGGGAGTTGAATATTCTGTAAAGGAAATGATTTAATCCACTTTAATTGCAAAACTAGCTCCACAACTGCAACCTTGCTCGGCTAAGGGATTGCCTACTACTCTAAAAGCTGATCGTATTAGTTCTGTATGATATTCTATTGTGGATCCTTTAATATATTCCAGGGTTGTAGAATCCGCAATAACCTTTGCACCATCCTTCTGAAATACTCTAGAATAAAATATAAATTGAAGGTAGAATACCATTATCTTATATTATCTGATTCAATACTGCTTGTTATAATTTTCATTCATACTTATCATCTTCATTCACATTTGAATCAAGATCAAAAGTGTACCGGAAGCCGGAACATCCACCACCTTCGACACTTATTCTTAAGAACATGTCTTTGTCACTTCCTTTAGTTAATTCCTTCAATCGCTGAATACAACTGTCGTCAATGATAAGGTCACTCGTAGGAGTACTGGAAGCCAAATTTGTTGATGACCAGCGTGTAATTAATGCAGATAATTCACGGCATGGAAACCTATGTTAAGGAATTTAAATATCAATCATCCAGAGTATCAAGATGTTTTATGATATTTTAACAAAAGGCATCATTGAGTATATCAATATCATACAGGCATTTGCAACAGATTTAATTTCAATCGTGCCATATATTTTTTCGATACTGAGAATAATTAGAAAATATATCTAAATGCAGAAACTTACGTCGAAAGTGGTGAAATATAACGATTTGATGCAAAATTGGAAGAAAGGCATATCGTGTGTCGTATTAACGACATTTTTCCATCAGATATAACATAAGGCGTAAATCGAACGAGGTTATGTTGCGGTGTTAACGTTCGTCTCTCCTTTTGTAAAAGTAGGGGGATCTTTTAGTTCTATTCCACCTTTAAAGAGAAAGGGTGAAAGTAGCCTGGGCCCGAGTTCGTAGTGTTTTTTAAAAACTGCCAAAATGGTATTCAACGACAAATGTAAAGCTCCTTTTAGTTAAGGAACCCTACTATATCGACAGAAAATGTCAACGATATAAGAGCATCTAGATGATGAAAACGTCAAGTATCCTAACCTAAATGTATAATTGTGGAACTTAATGAAAATCAGTAATTATGATTGAAATAATAGCAAAACTAGTTAAGGGACCAGTATATTTTTCTGGAGAAATGGTTGAATGTTTGGTCACCTTCAGTAATCCACCGAACCCGGTCCATCAAATTTCGCAGAGTCACAGGTATTAGAGATGTCGATATTTAGTGTCATCAAAGAGAGTACTGTTAAATTCTTAAATTACTTTATGGTTTCAGTGACATCTTTGAGAGTCTTGCATGGGCCAGTGCTCAGATTCATTGCCAGTGTACGACTAACGAGAAGACCGTTCTTATTGACAAATTAAACGTCAATGTGCGCTCTACAGCAATAAATGCAGGTAAATGCATTGTTGCAAAAAAGTGTTTAATTTCTATTCCATCTTCCACAATGCTGTTTTACAGATACTGCATTTGCACCATGGCAACAAGAAAATGGACACGTCGTAATGAACACAAAACCTAAAATTCTCTTTTGTGACTTGAAGCTCTCCCCAGGAGAAAGCAAAACTTGTGAGTGTATGATTTTACAAATATGCTATGAGTTTCATCCTCTTGTCTTTTTTGGTATAACTATTAACGTAGGATGTATATTTCAGACGTTTATCGAGAGACGATACCAAGTGATTCCCCTCCTTCGTACAAAGGTCAGGCTTTAAATTATTCCTACAAAATTACTATTGGCACACAGCGTGTCAACACGGCCATCAAACTGCTGCGAGTACCTCTCAGAGTGCTCTCATTAAGTGGTAATGCGATTAAAATTTATTTCAATCAATCATTTAGGTCAACCATGATGTTGACACTTTCATTCTGTAATTTCAGTATTGCCAGAGTCAAGTATTTGCAACGACAGCGTGGATCTGAGGCCGAACAATCCATTTTTGGAAACGCAGCACAAGGAAACACCACTGGATGTGGCTCTTCAAACCCTACAGGTAGAGACTCTTAAAAGAAAAAAAAGAAATGTTTTTGTTAACAGCAAATTTTCGTCTGTAGAATTTAACCGCCAGACGAAGCCCTAATTTCTACAACGTGACAAACGGTCGTGGTCGAGTGGTGAGATTCTGTCTCTTCAAGAACTCGTACAAGCTCGGAGAGGACATTGTGGGTACATTCGACTTCTCCAACGCAACTTCCACGTGTGTGCAAGTGTCGGTTGCTTTGCAATCCGAGGAACACGTGGCCGAAGAGTACAGAAGAGGAAAATCGTGGTCCCCGGTGTTAATCAGTTACAACAAACACCACGAGGTGTGTCTAGGCCTGAAATATTCCCAGCTGGTGTTGCCGATCCCACTCCACGTTACGCCAGATTTCTCGAACGACTTCGTGAAGCTGAAATGGCGCCTCCATTTCGAGTTCGTCACGACTACGAAGCCGGTGGAGATGCCAGACGGAAGCACCATGAGTTGGCAGGGTCCGTCCACCCTGGACGTGGAAACCATGGTCTGGGACTTGCCACTGCGTATCCATCCTACAACAATACCTCGAAACACGATGCAGCAGACCAAGTACACCACGGTGTTATAGTGGCGATCTTGGACGTGAATTTAGTACTTTGAAGACATTAAGGTGAACAAGGAAAAACAGACATCCGCAGGAGGTGGACGGTTTATTTTTAAGACACTTGGAAAGACACCCGTTTCTTCGACTAGGAGCTGGGGATCTGCATCAGTACGGAGACTTGGAGGTCGGGGGGTGCATTGGATCGTGTATTGGATCATGTACAGGATGCGTCGCAGGATGCACCGAGGGATGCATCGGTGCTGGAGGTGTGGCGAAAGGAGCGTGACAATCGTAGCGACAATAAGCGAAGGACTCCCACCGAGTGTAATGCTGATGCGAGTCGAAGGACGTGGATCCATAACAGGTTGCAGGCCGAACTGCCGGTTCATAGGTCGGTCGCGGTTCCAACAGGCTTTGTAAATGTCTAATGTACGTTATCGCGTGCCTCAGGGACTCGATCTTGGACAGTTTCTTGCCGGGGGGCTTGCAAATCGGCAGCTTCGAGCGCAGCAACTCGAAGGCGCGGTTCATGTCGCGCATACGCGTCCTTTCCCTGTCGCACGCCGACTTCTTGTAATCTGAAACCCAAGCGCGCTTGTAAGAGCGATTAGATGACTTTCGAGGGTCGTCTTCAGCTTATCCTTCTATTGTGACCATCATGACTTGTACTCCAGTCGATACGTGCTGATCGATCAATAGTAGTCGACAAATGATTGCCTCGAATCCCTCAATTCGTACAAACTTCGCGACGTCGAGCAAGCGTGCATCTCCCGAGGAGCGCTCGCAATGTTTCGGATTTCGGAAACAAAAAGGTCAAAATTTAGACTCAGCCGGTCGAGAAGCGATCGCTCGACGGAATCCCACCGTCCGGTTTCCGCCTCCGGGCGTTTTTAGCAAAAGGGACGACAGAGGAAAAGAAAAAGTGCAAAATACGGCCCAACGTCTTTATCCTTCCCAGAGATCCGAACACAGTCCCGAGATGATTCCAAACACTGAAAGGAGAAAATTGAATGTATAGGGATGGAGGAACTCGAAGCGAACAATGGTTGACATCGTGACCATGAAGTCTAGTCGGAAAGGTTAGCATTGTAATAATTAATGCAACGATTGTCCGGCCAATCCTTCCTGTATGCGTGATGTTCTAGAATAAGATTCGATCCGACTCATATCGGCGACGTGTAAGTTTCCATATTTAAATAATAAGGAATATTTTCATCCGCGCTTGCAGGAACTAAGCTGAACGATGCGCACTACTTCCGGCAGCCATTGCCGCACACGCGCAAGAAGATGACCACTCTCCGGGTCATCCCGGCAGTTTTGTCACCACAAGAGGATTATTCTTCGGATCCTGCAGGAAATATCAGAATGAGGGAGCGAGAGAAGCTGGAGAGAGACCAATGTTCCACGGAATTGGCACGATTCGACTACAAGTTGGACCCTTTGACGAGCTTTGCGGCGTCCATCGGCCTGGACGCGTCCCTCCCATCCATCCCTCCCGTGGTCCCGGTCGCCTCCATCGCGGTGGGCGACGAAGAGACCCTTTGTACGGAGTCTTCAGGTTTTTCGATCCCTCTCGACACGGCTCCTCTGCCCCCTGAAACCCCTGAGGACGAAGAACCCGAGGAAGTCGACGACACCGAGAAGAAGCCTCCATCGGGTGAGGAGAAGAAGGAAACCGGGGGCTTTAAGCGACTGATCGTGGAGTTCTTCTCGCACATCCTGGCCAGGTGGTCCAGCGCCACGAGGAAGAGGTCGAAGGGCACCAAGGCTGTGAGCGAAGGGGTCGAGGAGAAGGTGGCGAAGGCGGCGAGCAAAAAGAGGCGACAGAAGACAAATCGATTCGCCGATGATTCGAGGGGAAAAGATGACTTCTGCGCGGAGGATCCGCAGCGGTCGGGGGAGAGGAACTTGCGGGCTATTCTTCTGGAGCACGAGCTGCGCACCAGGATGCTGGAGAAGGAGAATGCGTGCTTTAAAAGAATGCTTCAGGGCCGACTCGGGGCACGGCAGATGAGCAGTCCTCTGTATTAGATCGTTAAATTTCATCCCTTACTGTATGCGTAGCTTTTATGTTTATCGGAGGACGAGTGGACCAGCTGATCGAGGGTGTCTTATCACTTGCGGTACCCTGAGTCGTGCGAACCCCTGCATACCTTTTTCGATCTGGGACGGCTCTCGCTGCATGGGCTCGATGTTTGCCTCGTCGAGGTGCTCGCGTCGATCGACGTGGTCCTGGTCCTCCGGATGCGGTCCGACCAGTTCGGGCTCTGGTACTCTTATCACGAGGACTCCCCGCGAGGGGTGGAGCCGTGGACGAAAGGACACCCCGGTGGTCTCAGGGGCTCGCCACCCGGGGGACCGCGCGGACGGCCCGTGACCTGGAGATCCTCGAGGACCTGAAACACGTCCAGGGGTCGATTAGGGATGCGACGAGTCAGATATTTCACCTCGTTATGCACGAATCGCCTCGAGTTACGTTAAATTCGAGGAACTCGAGCCGATGAAATAGCCGGCTCGTCGTATTGCTATCGCAGCTTAGGAAGGAAACATCCCCACGTACCGTCACTCTCGACGAGTTCTCCGGCGAACCGATCGGGTCCCTCGAGGGTCCCGCGATGATCCCCGTGGCGTTGCTTGTTCTCGTCCAGGTCCAGCAAAACCGGAGCTGGACATCCGTAGTCGTCCTCGGCGCTCTCGTTGTCGGTCTGCAACACGCGACAGGGTGTCTTTCGAGAGTGCTTCGAAGCGAAATGTCCTACCGCACTCGGGGTACCTCCGTCCTGGGGAATGGGGCGTCCATGTCGACCTCGGGGACCAGGGCCCGAAACCCTGGGACGACGATGCGAGGTCTTCTCCGCAACCAGGCCCGAGGGAGGTGTCACGAACGACTTCTCGGGCGAGATGTAGATCGGATGCCGGCAGACGTTATTAATGTTAATTTTATCCGTTTACCGAGCGTTCAGGTGTTCCGCGCGCAGGGGCTCTCATCAAGGAGGCCCCACGGGGCGTCGCGCCTCAGAATTCGTGGCCCTCGTTCAGAATCGTAGGCGTCGCGACGCTCCTTTCGGGACCAGGGAAACGGACCCAACTTGAGAAATGGGATGGAATCGAGCCCCGGGAGCCTTTCCCTGGGACGTGGCCCCTTTTGATACCGCCAGCTCGTCGCATTGGAAGTGTGTACTCGTCGCATTAGCATAAGCGCCGGCATGAGAGACTCTGAGGGATCGGAATAAAAATGGGAACGCAAACCCGGGAATATAATAGGCCCTCCTTCGATGGAAATACTAATGAAGCGGAATTACGTACATATGCCTGCGACTATAATACCTACCGAGAAAGAGACCGTAGTGGCTTCGACCGAGTCGAGGAAGGTGTCGAGCTCGTGTTCCGGAATTCTCGAATTCTGGAGCGCCTTATCCTCGCCGACGACCTCCGACCCTGCTGCCGAGGGAGGTCGCGATTTCACGGGGTTAATAGGGACCTTTTCTAGGTCTTTATTTTCCTCCCTGCGCTGGTAATTAATTAATTAATTAATTCCGCCGGATCTAACAGCGGAGGGGGCGAAGTCGCGCTCGTCGCGGCTACGTAGTCTTAAGTTATTTTAATTGGGACTCCTCGACACTTCCGTTAGTGAAGTCATCGCGGCTGATTCACGAATTCCGTGGATCACCTTCCAGCGTTGTACGATAAAAATGGAAAAACCGGGAATGGAGAAAAATGGAAATAAAGGAAGTCGGTCGTTCTTGAATGGTGATGCTAGTGGAGGGCTTAATAACGATTATTATAACAAGATCTATGGTTTTCGATCCGCCTCTTGTTTCGACCTCGTCGGTGCTTGCAGATGACGTAGAATAACTTCCCTTAGTTCTGGGTCGAACCCAAGGTGGACCCAAGGATTCACGCAGCCGTTGAGACTGCTGAGCAGCGCCAGGATGGTGAAGGCTGGTCCTGGGAAACGAGTTTGTCGTTTACTTTTGCGGTGTCTCTCTTTCTCCAGGGAGGAAAATTGAAGTTTCTCGCGACCGCGGGGGATGAACGGATTCTTGAGGGTCTGATTTGCAGCCGGCCTCTCATTGCATTTTCTCCTCGTTAACTTTTGTTTAACAGGTTACCATTCAGAAATGCCGAGGAGGAGGCCCCCGGGTCCCAGGTCGCCCAAAGTTCGCAGCCGATGAAGGGAGTGCTCGAGGCGATGTAAAGAGCAACCACGACGATGGTTTGCCAGGCGGTTCGAATTTTCGCACGCGAGATCGTCGCCGGGGCTCGGATGTCTCCTCGGGGCGATTTCGACGTCGCGACGCCGACCTCGCTGCGTCTTCGAACTACTCGACATATGCCTGAATACGTGTACACCAGGACGCAGAGCGGCAGTAGGAAAACAGCCAAGCAGTACCTGTAGGCTCGAAGTTGAGGTTTCGTTCGGTTTGTTAAGTTTTTAATTTTCTGGTTTGTTTTTTTCTTATAAAAAAATTGAATTTATTCCAGGTAACTTGCCAGGTAACGTAGGCTCTCTCCCCGTAGGAGAGCTCGAAGGTGGCCCAGCAGTCCCACACTCCTGGAGAGATCTCCTTGTAGGAGAAGACGAAGACCTGGAAGAGAAAGAAAGAGAAACCTAAAGCAGTAGTGTACCCCTCGTGACTCGGATATATTTACATGTTTCAATTTTTCCACAATATAATATTTTCATTTTTTTTTTCGCGCAGAATTACATTTTTAATCTCGCTGCATTAACGGGGTATTAATTCAGCGCGAAGCGCCACGAAAATCCACGGTCGAATTATTCACAGCTCGGATGTGTTACAATATGAGATAACACATCGTGTCAAAGGGGAAGATTAATTCCAGACAAATTAATAAGGAAAAGTGATTATTTCAGTCAGGCGGGATTTTACTGCGCATAATTCTACGTCCTGGGTAAGCGGTCGAACCCTCGAAATTTATCGCATACCAGTCATACATTTATTTATGTTTGTGCATAATCTTCATATATCTATTTATATCTTTTATAGCTTTTATATCTCGGGAAGACGGCTGAATGAAGAGGCCGCTTTCAGGTGCAGGGAGCGGGAAAAGGGAGACAACTGACCTGGGGCAAGCTGAAGAGCAGTGCCAAGCACCAGGAGCAGCGGATCATGTTCCTGGACTGGAGGAGGCAGATTCGATGGTCCAGACTGTCGAGAGGCTTGCAGATCGCCCGATACCTGTCGATTGCCGTGGCCGTCAACACGTAAGAGCTCAGGTAGAGTCCAAAGGGCTGGCCGAACTTGACGAGCCTGCAGAGCAGGTCTCCACCCTGGAACCTGAGGACACAAGAGGTGATCTCCTCTGTTTCGTTTAGAAGCTTCGAAGTGCTCACCTGAAGGTGATGTCCCAGGCGAGCTGAGGAAGGACGTTCAACAGACCGGTCAGCAAGTCGGCAATGCTCAGGTGGAGGATGAAGAATTGTATCCTGCTGAGTTTCCTACGTCCACGGAGGTACAGAGCCAGCAGGACCAGCGAATTCTCCAGCAGGATCGCCAGGAGGATCGCGGCCAGGGTGAAGATCTCCCAGCGCGCCAAGTCCGAGTCCCTGAAGTCCTCGACAGGGTTCGTCGTTGTCGGTGGATCCTCCGCGTCCATCTCGTCCTCGTGGATCATTTCGACGGGCCGATTTATCCCACTCGTCCGACTCATCCGACTCGACAAATGTTGAAGAGCGAATACTCATCGCGGTCGTTGGAAATCGGTTTTTGTAGCCGCTCGTTAAGCATGCACCTATGCGCCTCCACGTGTTACCTGTACGTTTCGACCGCTTGGTCGGGTTACATTATGCCACTCGGTGGAGATTCCGAAATCGGAGTGGACGGTGATTGAAGCGACGAATTTAGCACCGAATTTCGGAGTTGGAATGAGCGATGGTTATATTTCGGGGGCACAGAAATTCTCGTACCAGTATCGGCTGCGAGTCGATCGGCATTGCGCAGGTTTCGCGCCGTTCCCCACGTCCGCGATCTCTGACTCCGCGGAAGGTCTGCCCGACGTGGAGGCGCGTCGCTGTGTCGCCCCGCCGTTATTAGCATAGCTTACAATTGCAAAGTGATCCAATCAAATAGGCGTAACGACCCGCGAGGTCCTCGAGGTTCGCGATGGTCCAGAGAGAGAGGTCCGTGGGGTCGCGAAACCGGTCGACGAGTCCTCGATCTCGACCGTCGTGTCATCGATGCACCTGTCGCACTCGTTGCGCCCTTGACATCGGAAGGAATAACCTGGATTAACAATAAAAAGAAAAATGAATTTTAATTTCACTACAAGACGTACACCCAAGACGGATAACAAATGCTCGCTCGTGAATATAAGCATTTTCGAACCCCACGAAATAGGTGAACTTTGGGACCTTAACCATGGCTTAGAAGTTCCTCGCTGGCAAACAGGAAAAGGAGGAGATCGAGAGCGGCGATCTCGTCCGCCTCGCGCCGCAGCTGATCGACGTTTAATTCTGGCAAGAATTCCGCTGCGAGGGGTAAACTAGGCGACTCGAGAAAGAAGCCAAACGGGGAGCAGGCGGGTAGGCAAAAAGCTAATTGCATGGCCAACCGGGCCGACCGATAATTAAATTCACTTTTTCGAGGTCCAGGAATCTATCGCCCGCCATCCCCTCCAACCCCGACTTGCCGGCCGAGGGCCGAGAATCGACCGATATCGAATGGCTAAAATCCCGAAGAAGAGAAGAGAAAAGGATAAAAATAAATAAAGAGAAACTCCAGCGTCCCTACACCCTGGTATTACGTTGATCCCCGGGCGTTGAGGGATTTCGGACCACGGGTTATTCCCTCGGAATAACGATTTAGCGAGGGTCGGAGGCGCGAACATTGATTCCGCCATCGGTCGATTAATTGATTGTTAACGAGATGGTCGGCGGTATATCGACGCAGCGGGCCGTAGGGTATCTTAAAGGGAAAAGGCCTCGCTTAGGGTGTCCCCTGGGGTGGGTGTTCGCACCCGGGGGTGGCAAATTCGGAGCTCGAACGAGCCGTTAATTGACGCGGCACGCATGGCCGTGTCCAATCAGCGAGCCGATCAGCCGGCTCGTCCGCGGCTATCGGCGGCTATCGGCGGCTATCGGTGGCTATCGGAGATCCCGGCCACCCCCGACCATCCCGGTTATCTCCGGCTATGCGCCCCGGCGACGGGTGCGAATAATCCCGACGCGTCCTTCCCCGAGACCCGAGACGCGGTCGGCCGCGGTAATTGAAAATTAACCAACCCGCCTGGCCATCTATATCCTTCCAGCCGTGCACCGAGACCCGACGCGCTCATCCCCGAGGACCGGGAACCGAGCTTTGCGATCCCTCGCTAAAGGTCCCTTCGGAGCCGCCTCCTGCACCCTCGGAAATTCCCAAGAATTTCCTGTCCCCGCTGGCGGACATTACGTGCAGATCGGTCGCGTATTTCTAGTGGGACACTGAGCGCGCGTTGCGGTGCTCATCGGTGCTTTGTTGCTGGAAATGACATCCTATTTAATCTATTCGGTTGGGTATTTCTAGTGAGACCCCGGGCGCGTGATTCGGCCGGTATGGATGTTTTGTTACTGGAAATTACATCCTAGTTAAATAATATTTACTTTTCGAGTCGGTATCTCTAGCGCGACCCTGCGCGCGCGCTGCGGCGCTTTATTGCTAGAAATGACATCCTATTTATTAATAATTTGAATTAAACCCATTTTCTGTTTATTTACGAGAAAGGAGATGGATTTAGGGATGAATAGAAGGTATGTTACATTTGAAGGTGGAACTTTTATATAGCACAATTGTCACGCGTGAAGTTAATGCTAATGGGTGTTTTTTTTGGTAGTGGAAAATAGGCGACAGAGATATAAGACCGACTCTCGTTTTCTGCCGTAGAACTTAACCTGTTGAAAAGTGGTAGAACTCTCTGATAAAATCCTGAGGATTCTTCGCCGTAAGCGATGGATACCCTCGGGAGAGGGAGTACTGAGGAGATGGGTCGCCTCGAAGAGGACCCTGAAGAGGAACTCGAGGACGGGGAGGAATGGTCCGTAGTGCCGCGAAAGGAGATCCGGTTTTCCACTTTTTTGGTACGCCATCACTTGTGGCCGTTTTTTGAAGGATTTCGAGGTCTTCCTGCCATGCGAGGATTGAAAGGAATGCATGATTTCCAGGGGGCTCCTGGCATAGCCAGGATCGACCTGACCCCGCTGACCCGGAAGATCGTCGGCTGCGTCGTAGGTGAGAACGTGACCACCGAGTATCCTTGGATCTACGTCAAGAAGGAGGTCATCGAGGATAACCTCGACTTGCACGACGAGAGCAGCGACTTCTTGCCGGTCAAGGACGAGATCCAGTCCTTCCCCGACACGAAGATGCTGATAGGGTACGCGCCCTCCTCCACGGAGGAGGGCCAGTTCTACATCTGCTTGACGGAGGAAGGAAGAGATGCCGTGATGAGACACATCGAGGACCTTCGAGAGGAGCAGGAAAGGCGCGTCAGCAACGCCGTGTACAAGTCGATAGGCACCTGGAAGGACCTTGGAAGTGGAGAGGAAGTCGACGACGGCATCGTGAAGAAGAAGAGACCGCTCTTCCTGATTGAGGTTGGGTTTTTGAGATGGAACCCTAAGTGGATCTAAATTTCAGATTCTGACTTAGGAGGCAGATGGAAGCAGATACCGATAGATGAAAAAGTTGATATGTTTCCACCCTCGTTTCAGGTGGAGTCGACCGCGGAATTATTGGAGAAGTTGCCAACCCTGGTGGACAGCGGAGCCAGCGATCGACGCGACGGTTACATAGAGTTGGTACCTCGAAGAGGAATCCCGATAAACGTGACAAGACGTACGGTAGAGAAAAGCGAACAGGCGAGTCCAGCTCATCGCGAGGCGACCGCGCAAACTTCTATTTCCGTAAAAACCAACGCTCAAGTCCAGTATCGGTACGAGTACCAGGTCGACTCTAAAAAGGCACATCCTACCTTGACAAGTGGCCTGAAGGAGGAGGTGTGCGACCAGGTCAGCATTCTACTTCCTATAGGATGACTAAATGCATTACTAGATCTCATTGCTCATCATGTTCCGCCAGGTACTCCTCAACGCTACCTGGGATCTATACACCAACGACTACGCGAACCTGGTGCGCCACCCAAGAGACACAGAACCACCTGTGGTGGTGGGGTACACGGAACACCAGAGCTTCTCCGAAGGCAAGCTCTGTGTGGACAAGACCATCAACGATTTGAGCTGGCATCCTCTCTGGACCGGGATCGCCGTGGTGGCTTACGCCGATCATGGGAAAAGCCAGACCCTGGAAGGACCCCCCAGGGTCAGCGAGGTGAGTCCTGGAAGAGTGATTCCTAGGTCACTGAATGACCTATTCAAGAGTAAATGAGTAAATACTTGATCGGTAGGTCTACAAGGCATGTCACGAGAATCACCAGGCGTTGGTTTGGTCCTTCAGCGATGCCCTCTCGCCGAAGCTGATCCTGGAGTCGCATCGAGAGGTCACTGCTGTGTCTGTCTGTCCTCTTGACGGGAATGTCATTGTAGGGGGTTGCGTCAATGGCCAGGTGGGTTGGATTCCATCCCTTGTTGCTACTAGAACATAACATCGTTGATCAAATCGTCCAGCTGGTCATCTGGCACATTCCGGGGAAGATCGAGTTGGTCGAGGCCGTGGTCGTGCACACCTCGGCCCAGGTGAAGTACCGGATTGCCCTGCGGTCCCTGATGACCTGGATGAAGGAGTCCATCGGCTCGTCCGTGGTGCGACCTGCGGCGACCTCCTCGTTGACGCACAGCCAGAGAGGAGCCATTACGCAGATTCGGTGGCTACCCTCGCATAACAAAATCGACAAGAATGGCAGGATCCTGACCCTACCAGAGGACACGCCGGTGGAGGATCTCGCCTGGCAATTCGCAACCTGCAGCGAGGACGGCACCGTTGCCTTTTGGGATCTTAAGTTAGTTAGACGGGTAGTTTACATTAGCAAAGGAATCCTGTAAAACCTGGCAAGGGTCTCGCTCTAAATTAGCGATGTGACAAGTCGGATATTTCAACTCGTTAAATTCAACTTAAGCATGCATTCGAGTCCATTCGAGTCATCAAGTGAATCGTATACTCGAGACCAACCGCACGTTATTAATTTATTCGAATTGTTTCATTCAGCAACTCGTCGCGCCGAAAGCGCTTAATCGCGATCTTCTCCCTTCACCAAGTTGGCGCCTCCAATCCATTCCCAAATTGACATAGTTTCGAGTTCCTCGAAGTTCGTCGAGTCGATTTTATCGACTCGACACCTCGCTGACCTCTCATTTCCAGATGGCAACCACCACCCGAGAAGAGCAAGGACCAATCCCAGCAGCGCGGCAGAAGGTCCAGAAAGCCACCCAAGCCGGAAGCCCTGGCGGAGTCGATGTCGCCCTTCAAGGTGCTCGACGGGATCTTCAAGCCGGAGTATCTCCTGGTCGTGAAGTACCCTGACTCGAGCCGGAGAGCCGTTCTCACTGCGATGAGCACCCATTACCCTAGCCTCCCTCGGGAGCTCGTAGACCCCATCCCGCCGTCCCAAGACAACGTGGCCGTTCGCAAGTACTATCGGTACCGACCCATCAAGCCAGACTTCGAGATGGTCCCAGAGCTCCTGCTGGGCACCGACGAGGGCGATCGTCTGCTGGTCTCCTGGGAAGGCTTCGAGTTCACTACGGGAGTGGTCGTGAATCGCGAGACCTGTCGATGGACATCCTGGAGTCGCATCCACGACGGCTTGGTGGCGAGCATCGCGCGGTCCAGATACATCCCAGAAATCTGCGCCACGGTTGGAGGCAAGATCTTCGCGATCTGGAGACAGGACTTCGAGGACCCGGTCTTCTGGAGGCGATGTCTCGTTAGGTACTACCAGGACTCGGCACGAACCGATCTATGAACCCTCTCAGGCGAAGTTTCATCCCCAGATCGCATCTCCAAACTATGAAAAGGCTCCTCCACCTCCGGAATAGCACGCGACAATTGACGTCGTTATTGGCGGCAGAAGTGGGAATTGTATCCGCGCTCCAGAGGGAATTGGGATTATAGATATGGAACGTGAAAGATTATGAAAATTCGTTAGCTGGTAGACAATGATCGGACGAGGGCATTATACTCGCGGACGCTGTCGGGGGAATTAGGACTAGTCCTGCCGAACGACAGTCAATATTCGATCAATGAGGTTATTAATTATCGGATTTGTGAGCGTCATTCGGATTCGAAGCTATCGGGGGAATTGGGATTCCCCGGGAGATTATCAAAATTCGATTGGTTTACGGGGTATCTGACCGTTTGGACGAGTGGTGGTCTTGCTGAAGGTTCTGAAATTCCGACCGACAGGTACACTGCGTGTTGTTGGGGCAGTTATCGACCTTCAGTGCTGATCGTTGGGAGAGCCGACGGCACCGTCGAGGTCTGGGACTTCCTGGTGAAGAGCCACGAGCCGACGTTTTCCCAGAGCGTCTCTGGAAGAGTCATCACGGGGATTTATACACACGAGCTGTTTCTTGATCCCCAGTGTGTCGGCATCTGTGACTACAATGGCACCCTGAGGATATTTTTGACACCTCGGGCTCTGGTGACCCACGACCCATCCGACGTGGACTGGATGCGCAGCTTCATGGACCGCGAGGTCGAGAGGGTATAGCAAAATATAGTGATCTTGTATTTAGAGTGACCTAGCTCCCAGTTAACTCGGGATGATGATCTCAGATACGGAGGTTCAAGGAATGGCAGAGCAAGTGGAATGAGGAGAACCAGGAGTGGCTTGAGAAGAGGAAGGAGCTGGCCGAGGTGAAGAAGAAGACGAAGAAGTCGCCAGAAGCTGGGCTCGATAAATCCAAGGTCGTGGAGTCGAAGAAGACGAAGACCACCTCGAAGACTCCTAAGCAGACTGCTCCCGCGGTGCGCTTTCATTTTTCTAGATTTAGATATTGATTTAACTGACCTACCGGGGTTTAACCTCATGATTAAGCGCAGGCTGGAAAGTTCCTGGAGGACGCCAAGAACCAGTGGCTGGGTAGAGAGCTTAACCGCATGCAGAGGGTCATCCTAGACAAGAAGGGCTTGAAAGAGGAAGACCTTGAGAAGCAAAGAGCTCCAGTGACCAGATTGCGAGAGGCTGCCAAGGAGAAAAAACGAAAAATCGGGGAGATCCTTCGGCAACGGGACAAGATTTTCGAGGACACGGTCGCCATCTTGTTTCCGGAGAGAAAAATAGAGGAAAGCGCAGCTGTCAACGAGGATCGCTTAGAGGAGCCTGAAGAGGTAGAGGAAGAGGATGTCGGGAAGGTGCATTTGGGGAAATAAGGGAAAAATAACAGAAATAAAAGTATCTCTTGATTCATTGTTTCAGGAAACGCGAGTGTCGGAAAGTCGCCAAGAGGAACGTGGAAAGCTGGTCCAGGAGTTCCTAAAGATCCAGGCCGAGGCGTTGGCCGAGGTGAGGACGAGTCCCCACGAGTATTCCTTCGACTGGCGCAAGATCCTCGCCGATGGAAAGGCTCGCCGAAGGGCCCTGGACCTGGACCTTCCGCAACGCAGCGAGAAAAGGAGGGACATCTTCAGGGAGCGGTCTAGTTTATCCACGATGGGGGTTTGAACTTTAAAGAATCTCCTTTTATTTCTCTCCATCTCGTTAGACCGAGTCGCTCCTAGCCACACTTCGGGTAACCGAGAGCGAGTCGAGTTGGCTGAAAATTAGTTGAAAAGATTTATTGGCAGCGCTTCGATCAGCCCCCCGCTCGGCTCGAAGGTGGAAACCTCCGACCTCGGGATATCCTCTCGTTTCCGAGTGCATGCACGTAAAGTCGGTGCGAATCGATGCAAATCGACGCGTAACCAGAGCGGGATAGTTGGGGGATGAATTATTATTCTTGCACGCAGAGAAATACAGTACATTACTCGGATTTTTCTCACCCCAGAGAACGGCAGTGGTGCGTAGTTCTTCCCTTTTCCTTTAGTCCCTTTGGTAATAGCTCGAAAAGGGCTCGATTAACCCTTTCAGGCCCGGCAGTCGATCCTACCCGGGATCCTGTTTAATACGTCTCTCAGCTATACGATAATGAGAAGAAGGAAGAAACGACTCGTGTAGAATATTCCCGACAAAAGGACACGTTGGGCCCGTAAGGGTTAAGTGTCGAAAGTCTATTCGTTGACACCGGCGCTTGACGAGTGCCGTCTCGCGAACGGGCCGCGCCGGAATAACCGCATCGACCGGAAGCGACCGGCGGGTTCCGCGCCCGACCCTCGACCACGGGTCCCCGGGTTATGCAAAGGGTGCGCTTTGAAAAAATATCGCAACTGTACATCGTTAGTATCTTACACGGGAGAGGATGAAACATGACGACTATTCCGTAACGACCCACCCCGGCCCCTCGCCTCGGCTGTTTAACGAGCTATTAACGAGAGGACGGGGCTGCAGGGTCGCATCCAACGGCGGTACGATTATCGCGATAGGATGACGTCTCCTCTTTCGCTCTATTTACAAAGTCTATGTACACGATATCCGGCCGATCATCCGGGGACGTCGCGCGACGCGCGAGTGCCCGCGACCGAGACAATCGCCGATTATTCGTTCCAGCGAGTCCTCGCCCTTCCTATGTACACATCGCCCGATTCTCGTGGCCCGGCGACGTCGGGTTCGCCGTTTTCAGAATCCCCACCCTCGCACGAGTCGCCTTTATTACCCATTGAAAGTGGAGAGCGGCGTTCCATTACCCGCTCTGACGGAAACTCCGCGTCTCGCATTCGCGGGCGCTCCGACTCGAGCCGGGAATCGGCAGCCAGACCGTCCTTTACATAGACCGACACTTCGTTTTGTAATGTAATTAACCCGACTGCGGATAATTGACGCAGGTAACGATGCGCACTCCCATGGCGCGCTCGACGTTCCACCGGATGCGCGTGCGGACGCATTCCTCCGGACTAGCAGTGGCGAGGACCTCGAAGAGTGTTCCAGCGAGATCCTTAGTCCTCCTGGCTAACGTATTTCTCTGGACCACCAGTGGCGAGGACCTCGAAGAGTGTCTAATCGAGATCCTTGGTCCTCTAGGCGAACGCAAACCACCTCGTCGACGCGGCTATCACATGTAATACTCGTTACCGTCGAGGGAGACCAGTGTCCCCGACCCTGTACGTGGCTCTTTTTGGTCATGAACCAGGATGCACGATGATGACCTTTAGAAAAATCGTCGATCCGAAAGAATGTTGATGAGTCAGATTTATCGTGCACCGTTCTTCATCCTGCGATGGTGATCGGTGATCGCTCTTCAGGGAATCCCGACGACGACCTCCCAAAGGGTCGCCGATCGACAAGGACACCGAAGAGTCTTCTGCACCGTGCACCGTCCCTCGCCTTGCAATGCCAACCAGGGGAGGCTCTTCAAGGAAGTCTCAAGACGCTCATCTCTGCGGGATCCTCGGTTCTTTCTTGCGAAATTATATAGGCTCGTCGACGCGGCTATCACACGTAATATTCGTTAACGTTGAGCGCGTCGGTCTCCCGACCCTATACGCAGCTCTCCTGCGTCGAGATCAAAGGGGTGCGCACCGTGACGACCTCTCGAGAACGGGGAGGCTGCCGCTGCTGCTCCTCCGGCGGTTGCTGATGATGGGGATGGAGGTGAGGGCGATGGTCGTGGAGCGGGCGATGATGCTGAGGAGCCACTTCGCTCCTCGATGGCGAGGCCAAGCGGTCGTTCCGTGGCGGCCGCGCCGTGTGGTCTATGCTCGCGTAGACGGTGGGGTCCGTCGTCCTTTGGTCCGCTCTGACGTAGTTGGTGCCCGCTCCGCTTCCGACTCCGTGATCCGCGGTCGTCAACGCTGACAACGCTGATAACGTGGACAGCGTCACGGGCCGCGACAGGCAGAGCTCGGCATAGGTGACTTCGCCTGTGAACTGCTCGCAGGGAGCGAGAGAGCATGTTCAGTTAATGCAATTAACTTAATCTTAAAATCGAGGATAATTCACTGAGAAGAAGTTGCGAAATAGGCGGCAGTCACTACATGGGGAGTGAGATGCAACCACGGAAGAAATGCTTATCATTGCGGTTCTGTCTAAAGGATCGAACATTGGATTTTTTTTTTATTGACTCGCGCCGTTTCACAGGTCGTGAGATAACGTTTGATACTATTTCAGCGTTGGCGAGATTTGTTTTGAGTGGTCTTGTCTACTTACCGGTAAGGCAGGGTTGCTGCGGTACTCTGGGTGGCCGTACCCTGACAGGGTCCTGAGATGAAGTGGAAGTCCATCGGACTCGTTTTGCGCTGTCAGTGGCGTGCCCACGGCAGACCCAGTCAGCTGGTAGTCTGAATCTTGGGGATCCGAAGGTAAGCATTCGCAGAGAAGCGAGTCGGGGTTGCGTAAAAGATTCGGAGGTGACTTTTTACCCTGTGCGACTTGGGCAGTCAGGTGGTAGAGAGTCACATCCGAAGCTCCCTTAGGGGAAGGCACCGTACCCTTGTTGGTGGGCACCACGTCCGGGTTCCTGTCGTCCGCGTCGTAGAGGTCCTCGGCGCTGAGGGTGGTGGTCTTCTTCGGGGGTAGATCTCCAGGTCTCTGAGAACGCCTCTCGCTTCTGACCTTCAGAGCAGCCAGGATGGTCACGGTGACGAGGAGGAGGGCGGTAACGACCCCGATCAGGGCGCAAAGGAGCGGCGTGATCTCGAAGGGCACCGGAATACCTATGAGGGAACGAATAAAAAATGAAGACACCCCTCTATCCAATACTAGAAAAAAATGTTTCGATCAATATAGAAGCCCCTAGTTAAAATATTTTCAGGTATCATCAATGGGAAACTCTGATTGACACGATTAGAAAATTCTGAATACCGAAGTCTGGTCAAATGGTTTTCCAATACGCGTAATTGAATTCCTGGACTACTAGATAAATATTCAGCATACAGATCTAGTTTCTCTGACCAGAAATTCTCTTCGGATTTTCCAGAAAAAAATATTAACGCAGCCAGGTAATATTGTACCAAAAATGTCTGATACTTCCAAGACCACCCGGACTCACCGGTCTGTTTTTCAGCGACCTTAAGCGTGAAACCCTCGAGGAGGGTCGGGTCGCTTCTACCCTTAGCGTTGACGGCAGTCAGGACCATGTTGAGAACCTTGCCGGGTCCAAGGCCATGCACGGTGAAGACCGGGCTGGGAGCCTCCCTGGAAGTCACATTGGCCTTCAGCGAGCCCGTCTCCTGGTCGAACACCTCCAGCAGGAAGTGCTGGGGCTGGCCTCCATCAAAACCAGCGGAACATTCCACGGAAAGAGACTCAGTCGTCTGGTTAGTCAGCGTGCAGTTGTACGGTGGCTCCGGCTTCCCTGTGGACGGTCCTCAAGGTGAGCGCGACGCATCGGAGCGACAAATTGCCCGGCTTTAATAATTCCCCAAAACGGCCCTTTTTATTCCCGTTGCAGAACGTAGACCCCGGGAGAGGGCAAACTAATTAAACTAAATAAAACCTGGACCACAAAGGGGCAAACGAGATAGCGGGCATTTTGTCGCCCGTACTCGTAGGGGTACTCGCGTGTACTTGCCGGCAGGTATGACGTGGAAAACGCAGGCGTTTCGCTGCTGGCCCGCGGCGTTGCTGGCCCAGCAGAGAACGGTGCCATAGTCCATCTCGGTGACGGGCCTGTAGGTGAGAATGCTCTGGGTGTGCCTGGTGGAGTTCTCATAGCGAGACTGCGGCACGTCGACCATCTCCTCGGTGTTGTTGAACGCCCAGCGGAAGCTGTCGGGTGGAGGGTACGCCTCGACCCTGCAGACGACCCTGGCGTCCTCGTGACGAGCGACCCCGTAGACGCGCTTCTGCTCTCCCACGCAGATCGGCTTGTCTGTAAAAGGGCTCAACCCTTCGTACCTCTACGTACGCGCGCATGTAGCTCGCGGTGTACTTTCTCCGAGCTCGATAATTACCCGCAATGCCCGGGAACGTGTTCCTGAGCCGGCGCGCGCGATTACCGGCGGACCACCGAGGGTCTTCAGGGTCCTGATCGAGATTAGTCGTGACACTTACACATGATTTTCAGCTCCACGCTGTTGCTGTAACCGTCGCCCTCGATGTTGCTGGCCACGCAACTGTAGTTCCCCGCCTGCGACCGGTTCACCTTCCTCAGGGCCAGGTCGTACTGCTGCACGATCACGCCGTTCTTCGCGTCGTTCTGGATGACGTTACCCTGAAAAGCGATCGATCCGCATCGATTAGAGCCTCGTCGAGGAATCGATCGCAAAGGAACCTACGTTATGATGCCAGACGACTTTGTACGCCCAGGGATTCGCGTGGACCTTGCACTCGAAGTAGACGTCGTCGCCCTCCTCGATGTCGTCGGGATTCATGTTGGACCCCAGCTCGAGGTGCAAAATGGGCACGACTGGACAGAGAATTCAACGCGTATCGATTTCGACAATTCTAAACCCTCCGGTACCACCCCCTGGAACCCCCGAATCCCAGTGAAAGGTTCAACGGCACTGATAAGATTCAACGCAACATGTCCAACGTCTACCCTATGCCTAGGTAATTTCGGAATTGTGCATTGTAATTTTGAGATGATTTAAATATTACTTATCATGGATTAAATGAAAATTACGATACGTTCATCTCCATGAATTGTCAGCCGTTTCCCAAACTTCTGTGTGATAGTCACGTGGTCAAAATTTAAGTGCAGCAACGGAGGGTGGAAATTGATTTTAAATTTCTTTCCGGGTATCCGAATAACTATGAGGTTTATCTCGAAAGCCTACAGTAGACGTTGAGTTTCCACGTGTCCTCTTCGACGCCGTCCCGGACTTTGGGGTTCTCCGCCCGGCAGGTGATCAACTTCTCGTGGTCCAGAAGTGTCGGCTTCAAGACCAGGGTCGAGGTCGTCGAGTTGCCGTCCGGCGACACCTGAAAAAACGCGGTTATTCGACCTTATAATGCTGGATCTATGGACAGATTTTTTGTTTTCAGTGGGCCACCTGTAATCTGTCATTTTGACGGGTTTGGTTGTTCCAGTGATAAGATGCAGCGCGGTGAAACAAGGAATCGAAGGTGTAACTCACAGTTTCCGTGTAGTTGATCAACCTCTTGCCGTCCATGAACCAAGAGAGCCTGGCCGGAGGCCTCGAGCCGAAAGTCATGCAAGCTATCTCGTACTTCCGGTCCGCGCTGAGAGGGGCTTGCTCGCTGCTCAAGATGGACACGCCGAGAGGGCGAACTGCAACATTAGTACCAGGACATTAGTCCCCCTGAAGATCGTTATTCCCGTCACGAACGAGTCCACGAGACGTCCCAAGGGTGCCGCCGCAATATCCAGCAAGCCGCGGTCACCTAAAGGGTTAAAGCATCTCTAAAAAGTTTCAGAGGAAACTTCTGGGCAACCGCTATGCCGGCGCTCGGGGAACGCGGCGAGGCCGTTGCGAGGACCTTCCAATTTCCCGCAAACGGCACCCTCAGAAGATGGCGAGGACGTTTCCCCTCGACTCGCGGCGTGGCATGGCGTTGCGCGCTCGGTAAAGCAGATTTCCACTTTGCCGTAACTCGTTGCTGCGGGAATTGGAGAAGACGAGGACTCACGGTGGAGACGCACGGTGACGGAGGCGGACACTGGCTGGCTGACGTTATCGTTCGAAGCCTGGCAGGTGAAGACGGCGCCAGAGTGCGACCTGGTGAGCCCGGTTACGAGGAGCGTGTTCCTGCGGAGGTCGGGGAAGTCTCCTCGACTGTCCTTTGGCTCGAGCAGGGTCTCGCCTCGCCACCACTTGACCGATGGCTCTGGCCGACCTGAGGAGAGGGAGATCATTTGTTATCGCCGCTGGACCGGAAGGGATGCTGCGGGACTTAATAAGTTAAAGTATTACATACATATACATAAGAAAAAGTCAAAATATTTATAAAATATTTCTCTTTTAATTCACTTTCCAAGTTGCACCACCTCATTATTGAGTTGAATCAACTGTATGGATTAATTGATTTAGCTCCTAATCTAAGTTGAACCACCTTACTTATTTAACTCAGAAAATGAGTTTGGTTTACCCTCTTTTTTTTTTCTGTGTACGCATTCGTTCTAAAACGTGGATTGAGATTTACCTCCTGAAACTAGGCAAGTCAGCTTCATGTCGCCACCCTCCTCGTAGGGCCCCGCTTCGCCGGTCACCGTTTTCCCGTGCTCGTCTATGATGTTCGGCGTCCTGGGGGGCACTGAAATCGGAATCGGTGGAACGATTATCGAGCTTACTCCGGATTGAATGGGAAAGAGAACTACTCGACTGCTCACCGATTACGGTGAGATGAATCTTGGAATTCCTCGTGGGACTCTTAGCGAAGTCCACCCTGCATCGGTACTCGCCCTCGTCCCGCTCCTCGACGCGCTCGATGTTGAGGGACGCAGGTTCCGTCAGGGTGCGGAAGTACGCCCGGTCCTCGAAGTACTGCTTGTTCTTCCAGTGGGGAGCTTGCTCGGCGTTCTTGCCCCTCGTGTCGTAGCTGAGGAAGGAAAAGGGAACACCGGATCCCTTGCGTTAGAAGGGGCCGAGTGAAACAGGAGCCGAGAAAAAGGGTTCGGTTATTCTTGCTATCCTGAACTTTTAAAAGCTACGGAGAAAAAGACTCGGTACACGTAGAAAAGGAATTAGGATTAATTGCACAAGTCGACCCTATCGTGTAATCGTTGCGAACCGGAACATTAAAGCTAAGGAGAAAATGGCTGGTGATCGTTGTGATCCAGAAGGGACTTAAAAGCTAAGGATCTCGGACAAAGTGGATGTAAACAGGCTCTTCGAGACAGGAAGAACGGCATCTCGTCCCTTCCGTACTCGAACGCGGGTGTAAAGGGATACCTCGATTATGTATATTAATCCGATATTTTCCTTGCTCTCCGGACGCGCCTCGAGAGCGGAAGGATCATCCCTCTCGGCTACCTTGAACGTTATTTTCCTTTCATAGCGCGTATCGATGAGTTCGCGCGCTCCTTTTTTTGCCGAGCCACTTCCGCGCGAGTACGCTTCGGTACGCGCGAGTACGCTCGGCTCCGTACGCGAATACGTGGCCGGTAAGTTAGTTCCCGCGAAGGTCGCTCAGGGTATCGGAGACCCGGCTAATTCTCGCAGGGCGACAACTATCTCGCGCTCGCGCTGTTAAACGACGACAATGGCAAAACCGCGGGGACCGCGAAGTATTCCGAAACAAGTTCGCTCCGCGGTCAATCGGGGCAAACGAACCCTCGGGATCGATTTTCCGCTGCACTTGGTCGCACACATTCCCGGAAGATTTCGCTCCCGATCGTAGAATCTTCTGCCCCAGTTAAGGTGGCAACACACGTGGCGATAAATCTTTGCGTTAAATCCGTGTAAATCGGCCCGCATAGATTTAACTTACGCGGAGGCGCTAGAAAAGAAGTCGATTTAACTGCACAGATTATGAATGGCTACGATTTATCGTTACTTGTGCAGTCACCCAATGATAATCGTCTTTAAGATGGCTGCTCAACAATAAATCGCTGCATTACATCCGTGGAAGCTGGAGAAGAAGTGGATTTAACTGCACAGATTATGAATCATTAGGTGGATAGCCACCAAAAACTGACTATCTGTATGGTGACTATCCATATGCCGAAAAAGAGCTGCGTTAAATCCGTGCAAACCGACCTGTACAGACTTAATTGACGCATGGACGTTATAAAAGAAGTCGATTTAACAGTACAGATTATGAATCGCTACGATTTATCGTGAGCTGTGCAGTCACCTAAAGGTGGTCAGCGTTAAAGTGACTACTCAACGATAAATCCATATAAACCGATCCATACAAATTTAACTGACGCATGAGTACTATAACACAAGTCGATTTAACTGCACAGCCTACAAATTGCCACGATTCATCACGTGCGCATCCACCTTAACTTGGCCCTATTAGATATCACTCAAAGTTAGAAATAGACCCTCGATTATCGACCATACTCCATTAGCGACGTCCCTCGGCCGAAGACGCCGTCAATTTCGAGTGCATAATTTATCCGTCGGATCGAGTCGATCCGAAGTCTAGACTTGCGCTCAAGACGAAGGGTGACTTTTTTGTTCACCCTGGACCACTTTAGTCGCCTCGGTCAGCGGGCTCGGCATTGAGCCATTTCGCCGAAATGAAGGCGGATTGGACGAAATCGCGGCCGATTTTCGGGCTATCCTCCCGCGGGTCTCGGCCAAGACTTCCCCGAGTTCGATCGCGAGTCTCGTGGTCGCCGAGCCGGGGGCGGCATTTGCATATTCATCGAACCCTTACATGGTCTCTACACGGACACGCAGAGGCCGAAGGGGCGGAATATGGGGCCGGGTGTCCCGGCTTCTTCCCAGCCACTTGCCCGTCTACTCGTCGGCGGTGTCGGCTGCCAAACGCTGCCAAGCGCTGCCAAGCCACTGCCAAGTCGCTGCCAAGCCGCCGGCAAAATCCCGACGCCTGCGTCTAATGACCAAAATTCTCGGCGGATTTGCATTTTGACCGACCCGCTGATCGACGAGGGTGGAAAACTCGGCTACGAGAGGAAGAGACCGAGAAAGGGAAAATTCGAAGGGATAAGGAGGAGCGGGACCTTTCGTCCCCTTAATTAATTCGGCCGCGAGGAGCCGCCCTCGGCGGGGGCTGCGCTTTTCGAATTATGCATTTTCTTGTCACGCCATCGGATAAGAGCCGGCTGAATATTAATGCCCGGCGTAATAGTTTGTACGTCGGGTCCCGAGTCCTGAAATGGTACTCGATATCCTCCTAGGTAGGGCCTGGTCTAGACGCGTCCTCCAAATAGGACCGTATTTTGAATCCTACGGCCGCGTTATGGAGTGATCATCGCGCGGAATCTCGCCATTCCTGATTCGCTTTATCGCCAGGAAGTGCGAGAGATGCCTACCGAAGCTCGCCCTACGGAATTTCGTCGTTTCTCATTTTTACTCGCTTTATCGTGAAAAATTGTGGAGACCACTTATCGAAATTCACAGAGTGGAATTTGGTCATTCCTGATTTGGATTCACTTTATCATCAAAAAATGTGGAGAGCACCTATCGAAGTTCACAGAGCGGAATCTCGTCATTTTTGGTTTTTACTCATTTTGTCGACGAGCAGTGCCTATCGAGGTTCGTAGGGTGAAATCCCGTTACTCCAGATTTTGACTCCCTTTATCGGCAAAAACTGTGAAGAGCACCTATCGGAGTTTGAAGTACGGAATCTCGCCAATTCCTGACTTCGACTCACTTTATCGGCAAAAGTGTGAAGACCACCTGTCGAGCTTCTGCGCCCAAAATCTCGCCACTTCTGCCCTGTTCAAAAGTGTCTCGATATTTCGAACACTTTCCAGTACGGATGTGCGTTATATAATAACATTCTGATTACAACGAGAAACAGCCACACTCGAAGTGAAATCCCATACGGCGTTTCGAGAAGCGGTATCATTATGAGATAAAAATTCCTACAAAAGTGTTAAAAATCCGAAAGAAATCGATAAGACTAGAGGCGAAGAATTGTATCTTGTGAAGACTAGAATATGGAAACCGCAGTTCGAACGGATGCTTCTTTTAACAGGGTAGTTTAGTTATCGTTGCAAAGTGTGGGGAGTATCGAGTCCGCCGTGCGGAATCTCGCCATTCCCGATTTTAGTGCGCCTTATCATCGGAAAGTGCGAGGAGTATCGAGTTCGCCTCAACAGGGCGCGATAACGAGGCGAGGGTTGCCGCGCCCTCAAGGAGGCTCCCAATGGCCGGTTCTCCTTTTTGGCGCCGTCGTTGGATCGCCCTCGCTCGGTTTCGATCCCTTTCCTTCCGGTAATCTGGTTTCCCGTTCCTCGCCACCGACGCTCTCTTCCGCTCGGACTCGCGTTGGGGAAAGATACGCGAAACTCGATCGGCCCCCGCCTTTCGTTTCGTCCGCCGCGAGATACCGCACCGGGTGGAGTGGGTGGGAAGAAGAGCCGCGCCCGAGCTTGCAGAGGTCGAGAGAAGAGGGAAAGTAGAAAAGTTCGACGTCTCGATGCCACGAATCCTCGAATTCTCCATAATTCCGTGCGACCGAAACCCAAGCGAGGTCCGACACGCAACACTCGGTGATAAGCAAAAGCGGTCTTGGTCCTGTACCCTTTATCACATATAAGACCAAGACCTAGTCTTAAGGGGATGTGGAAGTGGCATCCGAAAGCTGAATCGTTCATAAAACTTTTTTACGAACTGAGTGTCTAAAATCATTTCATACTTTAAAACGCGAATATGGAGACCCTAAGGTAGGTCCTGAAACTCGCGAAATTTCATTTTTTATAAACTATTTTTAAAATACCTATAATAAAATTTGAAAAGAATTTAAATTTAATGAGTTTCAGGACCTTCCTTATAGCCTCCCTATTCACGTTGTAAAGTTTCAAACTATTCGGTAAATCGAGTTCGGAGAAAAGTTTTATAAACAAAACATCTTCGACGCCACTTTCACAACACCTTAATCGCGAATCCAAGACCAAGATTCGACCGTGCAAAAATCAACACTCAAGTATGTAAGGCCAAGACCAAGGCTATTCCGGTGCACTTTTTGCATGGTTCTGATCATGGACCTTTTGCAAGACCGGATTAGAACTATCACGATGAATTTCAGGAAGATCGTCATATATTGTTTTCGCGAAACCAGGATCAAGATTGCGAAAGTACATTTTTCAACGACCACGGTCGTGCACCTTCCGCAAGATTAAAATCATCACGGTGAATTTCTGCATGATCTTGATCGGATATTTTCTGCAAACCCAGGATCAGGATTATCATAGTCATATCATACATAATTGAAAACCATGCAGGAGAAAAGATTGTTTCGAGTGTACCTAATCAGTTTGATACTTGACGTGACCAACTAAACGTTATCAGCCGAAGAGTTTACCCATGTCACCAAATATTTCGTTGTCCATATAATGGCCATGTTCTATGTTTGAGGCGTAAAAAAATTGTAATACTTTTAACGATGAAAACTCGATCGTACAAGACCGAGGCTCGTCGTAAGACCGGGCTCACATTACTGTAGTGTCAGTCTCGGTTTTGCATCCGTTCGCCACTAGCGACAACCCTGAAGCGCCGCGGTTGAAATACATTTCTCCAATTTTCGAGTCCCTTTCAGCGGCGCGCTTGGGGAAAGGGTTTGACTTCCCTTTCTGTGGCGCATCCCGGCTCTCCTCCACCTCTCGCGCCAGATTCTCTCCCGTTTGTTTCCGTTTCGCTCCGGTAATCCAGTTTCCCTCGGCGCTCTTCCGCTCGGACTCGCGGCGCGAGCGGATGTATACGCGAAACTCGATCGGCTCCCCGCCCCCGTCCTACCACGGCCTCGATACGGCGTATCGGCGCGCGGAAACGCCCGGAGTCGCGAAGGACGAGCGAAGTCGAAAACCGACCGAACGTCGATACCCGGGTCTCCCGATGTATCGCGACGTCCCGATATCCCGACGTTTCGAAGTCTCGATACCGCGACGTCGAGGTGTATCCCGGGACTTCGATACTTTGAAGTCTCGATATCGCGTAAAAAAGATAGACCGTCGGTCGTCGCCGAGGTCAGGATGGGCGTCGGAGGAGATAGAGCGGTCCCCAGGAAGCTTGGCACTTGTAGCTGGTAGCCGTCCTAACTTCAGCTATCTTCAGTTACCGAGCAGCTACCTGACCTAACCAACCGACCGTCCATAATTTCGTCTTCCGATGTATCGAAACGTCGAGAGGCATCCCGACATTCCGATATCTCGATATCCCGAAGTCTCGAAATCGCGAGGCGAAGATAGGCCGCCGGTCGGCGCGGTTTAGGACGGGCGTCGGAGGGGGTGTCGGGGTGCACGGGGAGCTCGAACCTCGTAGCTCGTCGGTGGCCGTAATGCACTCCCCCGGCTCGTCGTCGACCGTCCTAACTTCAGCTATTTCCACTTACCGGGCAGCTACGAGGCCCCTCCTACCCGTTACCCCGGCCTTACCTACCGTTGTATGGCGTTACCCACCGCGTTGCCCGGGTTGCCCGGGTAGCCCGCGTTGCCGCGTTGCCGCGTTACCCGCGGCGGGCGGGCCGCGAGGAGCGTAGCCGCGAAACAACCGACTAAATGAAGACACATCGCTTTCATTATGAGCTACCTAGCGCGCGCCGTCTCGCCCCCGTTGTCCGTCGCGCGCCTTCGGTCCCGGGCGAAGGATTACGTTACGTTTAAAGGACGTACGACGGACTCTCCTATCCTTTTCCCTCCCTTTTACGTCCCTTTTTTCCGGTCTCGCGTGACTCCATCCCGCCGCCCGGGAGGAGATTCTGGTCCCAGTCGCCCGGGTGCGAAACAGGAGCTCTCGCGGCCCGGATGATTTACGCCGAGCACAAGGCGTCCCAACTCGGCGTCCTGGCTCGTCTAACGAGACATCCCCGACTTGGGGAAAAAATTGGGACTCCGTGCGTGCGTCTCGCGGGACTCGGTTACCTGTAGATGGGCGTGTCGTCGTTCTTGTACCAGGCGACGATGATGGCGGAGTCGTTGGCCCGGGGCGGCCGGATGTCGCAGGGCAGCACCGCCGTACCGCGCAGAACCGCTCGGACGAACCGCGTGGGTCCTGAAACGAGAAACGTCGATAACTCGCGACATATCCGTGGCATAATAGGAAAAGGAGGGCGGGGAGAGAAAAAGGGGAGGGCTGGATTCCCGAGGGGTTGCAGCCGCTGTGGCTAGGCGCGCGGCCGAGTTTTCTGGCCACCGGGAGTTCCATCGAGGGAACGTCGAGGGCCAACCGCCGGCTCGAGAGTTCCACTCCCAGGAACTCGAGATCCATCCGTGAGACATCGAACTTCATCTTCGGGACCTTGAGTTCCATCAGCGGAATCTTGAGTTTCCATCCAAGTATCTCGAGTTCCATCCGCGGTGCCTGGAGTTCCATTCGTGGAATCTCGAGTTTCCATCAGAGGATTTCGGGTTCCATCAGCGGAATCTTGAGTTTCCATCCAAGGATCTCGAGTTCCATCCGAGGATTTCGAGTTCCATCCGCGAAATCTCGAGTTTGCATCAGAGGATTTCGAGTTCCATCAGCGGAATCTTGAGTTTCCATCCAAGGATCTCGAGTCCCATCCGCGGTGTCTTGAGTTCCATTCGCGGAATCTCGAGTTTCCATCAGAGGATTTCGAGTTCCATCAGCGGAATCTTGAGTTTCCATCCAAGGATCTCGAGTCCCATCCGCGGTGTCTTGAGTTCCATCCGCGGAATCTCGAGTTTCCATCAGAGGATTTCGAGTTCCATCAGCGGAATCTTGAGTTTCCATCCAAGGTTCTCGACTTCCATGCGCGGGACCATGAATTCCATCCATAGGACGTCGAGTTTCGCCCGCGGGGCTCGGGTCGGACCTCGTGGTTGGGGTAGGTCAGGAAATCCGGCGATCGGACTCGGCGTTGACTTTGCGGGATTGATTCCGCCAGCGAGGCGAGCTCCGAGCGGGGAGAAAAGTGGCACGCCCATTGGGCTCGAAGGGAAGGTCGGGTCGAAGGTTGAAGGACCGGCGCGAGGTCGCCGGTTTTTCATGCGTCTTCGTTAGGGATAATTCCCCGGCGCGCTGGGAAGGAACCGAAAGCGAGCTTCCCCGACGGCCCCGGTCCGGCGTGGTCCGGCTTTCAGGGAGCTTTTTCGAGGAGGGGGCTCGTCACGCCCATCGGAGGATCGGCCGGAAAGGAGCGGATAAGGTCGGGCCGGGTCGAAGGGAAAGCTCGGGCGGCGCCGCCCGAGGTCGCCGAGGTCGACGAGGTCGGCGGGCGGGGGGGCGGGTGAACGTTAATGGCGTTACTCGGAGCCGAGCGCACGAATGCTTTTACCTACCGCCTCGTCTGGCGTGTACCGGCAAACGTATAAAACAACGCTTTTCACGGCGTTCGCTAAATTTCCCTTGGGCTGCCTCGACCGGATTACGAGTCCCGAAGGGTGGCGACCCGCCGGCTCGCGCACGCGAAACGCGCCGCCCGTCCGGAGACCGCCCGGAGACCGCGTGCGGTAAGTACCGCTCGAGAGCTCATAGCGAGGCAGCTGCGCCCTGAGAGTGCCGAGTCCCACTTTCCCAGCTTTTTGGGCAGGGAGGCCCAAAAAATTAGACCCATCGCGAGAGGATTCCGGCTTACCGCTCGCACTCGCAAGGCTACGCGGGGAATTCGACTCGCGGTTGGCCGCGCGGCCAGGCGGCCTCCGCCACTCTCGTCCACCTCGTGGCCATTAAGAGCCTAGCTTGCTCTTGCGGAATGGCGAAGCCGACCGTTCCTGTTCCCGGCCTTAAGACCCTCCTTGGGTGCCACACATAACGACGACCGTAAGGAGAAAACTGGCCAATCAAAGCTGATGACTTTTAAACAATTAAATCCCTAAATTAGAGACGGATTTCAGATTTCCCTGCAAGCCAAAAAAAAATCGCTGATATTTTAAGAACTGGACTCATTTCGTTCTTGCCCGATCGCTCGTAGGCAGATCCTCGCGGCTCCGAACTCTAGAGGATCAGGCCTATCATTAAGGTGATACGAAAGTGGCATCAAAGAGGTCTTGTTCGTGAAACTCTTCTCCGACCTGGGTGTACTCGTTTGAAACTTGAAGAAATTCCTATATATTTTCAACATATTTTTTTGTTTATTTAAAAAATGAATTTCACGAGGGTCGGGATCTTCCTTATAGCTTTCGTGTACATGTCGTAAAATTTAAAACGATTCGGTACTTCCAGTTCGTAGAAAAGTTTCACGAACGAGTGACCTATCAGATGCCACTTTCAGACCCGTCAAAATGTCGAATTTCAGATTTCCCAAGAAAATTCGCGGTCGGTGGCCAAGTTCCTTCTAGCGGCCCTAAATTCTAGCGGGCCTTGTAGGAATGTTCGGCACGTTTCCGCGCGGCCTGAGGAGAGCGGCGAGTTTACTCGCACGCCTTTCGCCCCGAGCCGGCGAGTTCGGCTAATCCCGGCACCGCGAGGAAGGGTAGGCGGTGGAGTAATCCGATAATCCGCGGGTCAGACGGCATCGGAAGCCGTGCAGCGACTCCATATCCGGCGAGCCGACTGCCGTTCTTAGCCGCGACTAGTCGGCTCGGCCGCTCCTAAGCCCAGATGGGAGGATCCGACTTTTCCGGATGCCTCGAAACTCCCCGCAAACTTCGCTCGCCTAGAGGGAAGTCTCGATTTGCCGTATCCTCCCTCCTTCCGCGCCCCTTTTTAACCCTTTCAATCCTAACGACTGTACTCGGCATCCAGGTGGAGTCTTGTATGGTCGACTGCCGACTACCCTGAGAAGAGGTCGACTCAAAGAAATATGCACTGCGACAACGAAATACGATGAAATACGCCCAAAGAAATGTCAGATTTAGTGAACACAATTCATTTACATTGACGTCACGAAAATAATTGTTCCTTGCCATTATATATGATTCCGGTTATTTTAACTGGAATATCAAGCTAAAGTATTAGATATTTCTAATAAAGTGCTGTCTTATTAATATTTTTTCTGGTAAATCCAAGGAGAATATCTGAGCAGGGGAACAAGAATTTTCTGCGAGAAATTTATCCAGCGGTTTAGGAGTCTGAGATAATCATTCGGACTCCGGTAATCAGAATCCTCCAGGCGTGTTGATCAGAATTATTAACGATAACTAGAAATTTTTCAACCAGATGCTAAATTAACCGGATTTCTTTTTCATTGTTTGGAAGCAACGATTTCATTCAATCTATAAAGTTGACACCCTCGGCGGAGTCCAGTATGTAGAAGAAGCATACTCACGAGCGTACATTGTAAAGAAATAGGGTTAACTGCAAGAGGTCGAGATTTATCCCGGAATTTTGCGGCTGCCATGAAACCGGCCAAATTCGATTGGTCCTGTTCGGCGTTCGAACGAGGTTCGTTCGTTAAGAGGTCCTCGGCCTCCGAAAAATAGTAATCAAAATCTTCCAGAGGTGTTAATCAGACTTATTAACGATAACAAGAAATTTTTTAATCAGATGCAACATTAACCGGATTTTTTTTCATTGTTTGGGAGCAACGATTTCATTCAATCTAGAAAGTTGACACCTTCGGCGGAGTCCGGTATGTAGAAAAAGCATACTCACGAGCGGGTACATCGTAAAGAAAAAGGGTTAACAGCAAGAGGTCGAGATTTATCCCGGAATTTCGCGGCTGCCATTAAACCGGCCCAATTCGATCGGTCCCGTTCGGCGTTCGAACGAGGTTCGTTCGTTAAGAGGCTCTCGGCCTGCGGAAAATAAGAGCCCCGACGCCGCCGGTGCGGAAACGCGATGCGTAACAACGAGGTGATTAGTAGGAGGAACGACGGCTCGCCGAAGCGGGGAACCGGAGCCGCGGGATGGAGAAAAAGCGGAATCTCAATTTTCCCTGCGATGAAATTTGCGTCGGCGCTGCCGAACGCGGCCCCGCAGCTTCTGGATTTTCTCTGCTACGTTTCCTCCGGCCTTCCAGCCGCCCCTTCTCCCTTCTTAGCGGATAGGGAGGAGACCGGATGTTAGATGCCGGAGGCAGGATGTCGGACGCCGGATGCCGGACGCCGGACACTGAATGCCGGATATGGCGCGCGCCGCGGGAGGATCGGTCCGGGAACGCGCGGAAACTTTCCGAGTCCTTCTGCACTTTATTCCCCAAGGAGCGACTCCAAAGCTCGTTCCGCGGTTCCGTCTGTTGTCGACGGTTACCGGAGCGGCTTACAAGTCGCTCTCTCTCTCTATTCGCAACTCCGAGTATACACGGCAAACGGTCGGTATTAATTCCAAAGCTCGATCGTTTGCAGGCATTCCAGGTTATAGTGATCGCAGCCCGAGGAGAAATTTCAGTTCTTTCAATTGAACTCAAGTATAAGCCCATTTTGGTATTATTCTACGCATTAAGGCGATACAAAGTGGCATCTCGTTTATGAGATTTTTCACCGAATATGGTTGTATCGAATCGTTTGAAGTGTTATCACACAGATGAGGAGACCGGATAAAAAGACTTAACTCCCGTGAAATTTCATTTCTTAAAATTTCTTTAGAAACGTTTTTCAAATTTCTTTATAAAAGAACAAATGAAATTTCATGGGTGTCGGTACCTTCCTTGGGGCATCCATAATTGCGTGGTAAAATGTCGTTCGGTTCGGTACATCCGGTTCGGAGGATAGTCATAAACGAGTGATCTCTCGGATGCCGCTTTCGCGTCACCTTAATATGAATTACATCCTATTTCGGATCTATAAGGAGATAAACTGTAAAGTCGTAGAAGGAGAAATTTTAGCTCTGCATTGAACCAATGTAACCTGTCCCTATTATGGTATTGCTGCCCTCCTTAACTCCAGTTTGAAGTTTTATACGTCCTACTTAATACAGATTAAGTCCAAAATTAGATTTACAAGTGGAAGAAATGGAAACATTTGTCACTTTTAAGACCTACGCCCCTTCTCCCCCAACTTAACCCAGCCCACTTTAAAATGTTTCAAAACGCCCCAATTTTCAACAAAGTTAATCACAAACTAATGAACAACACCCTCCCGATTTTCCGAGAATTTATCTCGAAGCGTGCAATTACCAGGAGGAAATATTCTCAGAAAAGGAATATCGAAAAA